GACCCTCGCTTCCGCCATGGGAACCACCCACAACACACTACCAGATTATGGGACTTACGCCCCTTCGTGCTCTGCATATATGCCCATGAAGGGTTCACCGAGCACCACAACCTTCCGTGCAGAACGTGCCACAGTAGAAGGCACGACAATTCCGAGGGATCCCCGCAACAAACCAACTCTGCACTGTGAGGCCAGGCCGGCACCTCAACAGAACACTTTCCCGAGGGACAAGGCGACAGGAGAAACATTGCTGATTGATTCGACCACGACCGCCCCATGGCTCCAACCGTGTTGAACAGCCCAGGGTGCACTTCCGGATGCTTGGGAACTTGACCCATGCATGGTGCTGCGGATACGCCCAAGAAGGGTTCACCGAGCACCACAACCTTCCGTGAACAACGGGCCTCGGTAGAAGCAACGACAATTCCGAGGGATCCCCGCAACAAACCAACCCTGCACTGTGAGGCCAGGCCGGCACCTCGACAGAACACTTTTCCGAGGGACAAGGCGACAGGAGAAACATTGCTGATTGATTCGACCACGTCCGCCCCATGGCTCCAACCGTGTTGAACAGCCCAGGGTGCACTTCCGGATGATTGGGAACTTGACCCATGGTGCTGCGGCTACGCCCATGAAGGGTTCACCGAGCACCACAACCTTCCGTGCAGAACGGGCCACAGTAGAAGCCACGACAATTCCGAGGGATCCCCGCAACAAACCAACTCTGCACTGTGAGGCCAGGCCGGCACCTCAACAGAACACTTTCCCGAGGGACAAGGCGACAGGAGAAACATTGTTGATTGATTCGACCACGACCGCCCCATGGCTCCAACCGTGTTGAACCGCCCAGGGTGCACTTCCGGATGCTTGGGAACTTGACCCTTCGTGCCTGAAGATATTACCAAAACCATCCGTGCAGATCAGGCCACACATGAACACACGACAATTCCGAGGTATCCGCAACAACCCATCTCGGCACTGTGAGGCCAGGCAGGCACCTCAACAGCGCACACTTTTCCGAGGGACAGGCAACAGGGGACACGTTGCTGATGGCCTCAACCACAAACGCGCCATGGCCTCAACCATGTTCAACCGCCAAAAGTGCACTTCCGGATGCTTGGAAACTTGCCCCTTCGTGCTACGGCCATGCCCATTAGAGCAACACCTAGCGCCACATCCTTCCGTGCAGAACGGGTCACACGAGAAGCCTCGGCACGTCCGAGGGATGCCCACAACTACCCATCTCGGCACTGTGAGGCCAGGCCGGCACCTCAACAGAGCACACATTTCCGAGGGACGAGGCGACTGCAGAGACGATGCTGATGGCCTCAACCACTACCGCGCCATGGCCTCAACCATGTTCAACCGCCAAAAGTGCACTTCCGGATGCTTGGACACTTGCCCCTTCGTGCTACGGCTATGCCCATTAAGGCAACACCTAGCGCCACATCCTTCCGTGCAGAACGGTCCACACGAGAAGCCTCGGCACGTCCGAGGGATGCCCACAACTACCCATCTCGACACTGTGAGGCCGGGCCGGCACCTCAACAGAGCACACATTTCCGAGGGACGAGGCGACTGGAGAGACGTTGCTGATTGCTTCAACCTTGGCCTTGCCTCGGCTTCGACCGTGCTGAACCGCCCAGAGTGCACTTCCGGATGTTTGGGAACTTGCCCCTCAGTGCTACGGATATGCCACTGAAGGGAACGCGTAGACCCACATCCTTCCGTGCCGAACGGGTCACACTAGAAGCATCGGCGCGTCCAAGGGATGCGCACAACCACCCATCTCCGCACTGTGAGGCCAGGCCGGCACCTCAACAGAGAACACTTTTCCGAGGGACGAGGCGACTGGAGAGACGTTGCTGATTGCTTCAACCATGGCCTTGCCTTGGCTTCGACCGCGTTGAACCGCCCAGAGTGCACTTCCGGATGTTTGGGAACTTGCCCCTCAGTGCTACGGATATGCCACTGAAGGGAACGCGTAGACCCACATCCTTCCGTGCCGAACGGGTCACACTAGAAGCCTCGGCGCGTCCGAGGGATGCGCACAACTACCCATCTCGGCACTGTGAGGCCAGGCCGGCACCTCAACAGAGCACACTTTTCCGAGGGACGAGGCGACTGGAGAGACGTTGCTGATCGCGTCAAACACGGCCGCGCCTTGGCTTCGACCATGATGAACCGCCCATAGTGCACTTCCGGATGATTGGGAACTTGCCCCCTTCGTGCTAAGGATATGCCCGTGAAGGCTTCACCTAGCGCCACAACCTTCCGTGCGGAACGGGTCACACTGGATGCCTCGGCACGTCCGAGGGATGACCGCAACTACCCACTGTGATGCCAGACCGGCACCTCGACCAAAGGGACGAAGGCATCAAGATTTTTGACTTGGACCTTGAGGAACAAGCAAAGAACTTGCTGCACGCCAAATGTGTCATGGTGCCGGATAAGCTCACTACGAGATGCCCACATTTTTCCGTTGGACCAGCCAGAACCG